TAATTTACATATTAAGCAATACTACAGGTCTGTTGGGCAGTGGGCCCACCAGAGAATAAACCTTCATAGAGGCAAATAAGGTGGTGAACAAACATCACTGTGATCTGCATTTTACCTTAGGTTAGTAAAACTATTCTGTTTCTTCAAGCACAGGAGGTAAAAACATTTCATATGTTTAAAACCCAATGCAACAGAACTTGAGTTTTAATTTAGGGGGGATTCAGAAGTATACACCGTCATTGAACTTGAAAGAAAAGCTGATTCCCCGGTTACAAGCTTCTTTGTCACTAAAGGTGTAAAGAAGTGCTTCTTTGATCTCATAGAAATCCATCATTTCCCTTTAGAAATAAAGATTTCTGTGTAGCCTGTGAAAAACATCTACTGTCTGTCTTCTCTCTTAGTGTAAGATCAGCCCATATTAACTTCATTTACTGATGGTGTCCTGAACATCCCTGTCTAATATTTCTTGTTTCATAATGATAATGTACATAATAATACATACATTTATGAAGTGCTTTGAATCACAGTCATGGATAAAAAATTAAAAAGGCAAATTAACAAAGTAAACGTGCTACCTTGAACTCTGTAATCAGCACTCATCATCACACTCACCACCTCATTTACCTGCCTGACTCGGTCTCTGGAGGACATCTTTAGTCTGTATATCTATCATATATCAACTGTTTTAAATCCAAAGCAGCCTGATAGGAATAAGATGAGAACCTCCAATTGAATTCAGTGCGGAGCCTTTAGGGATAATGTCTCAGCTACTCTCTCAAGCTTTAATAATATGTGTAGCAATGAATAAACTAAATTCAGTTTGGCCTCATTTTTAAGGTCTTTATATATTTTTGTGTGCCATCTTTGTAGTGGGAGATGCCATCCTGCGCGGACACGAGCTCCGTGCTGATTCTGAGATAATTCAGACAGAGTATTGATGAAAACATGATTCTAACCTTAATCTATAGAAAACTCCTCTTAAGTCATTTCTTTTACAAACCATAGACATGCAGTCAATGGGTGTTTAGTTTATTTTTCACTTTTACGTTTCAAGACATACCAGAAATTGAGACAAATTCAGTTGTTACCCAGTACAGAGAATACTGTACAACACTTACTGATCACCCCAACGACCAGATGTAGACATGTTGTAGATATATATTCATGTAGGGACATAATGAAGCCCAAAAACCTTTCTTTTAGTTTGACCAAGAGGTTCACTTTCTTGTTTTTTACATTAGCTTGCAATTATTGTTCTATAATAATCATCTCTTAACACTTTGTCTAAGCAACATCATGATGACTTCAAATGAGACAGGCTGATGCTAATTGACTGCAATGGAACCATACATTGATTATAGTGACATTTATTGATATATAACGACAGTTACTGTCGAACAGAAGAATTCTCAGGCTTCTTTTTCAGGCTTGATGCAGCAGTAGAAAGCTTTTCCAAACCATCCGAACCAGCTTTGAATTCCAGACTCCGGGATCTCATCCTGCACCACATCATTGGAGTTTCTAAGAGCTGGTCTTCTGCTGGGCTGCTTATTTATCACCTCACTCCCCAGGACTGACACCATATATACTGGAGGTTCAGTTGGTGGGGTTACATGTCGTGATTGAGTTTGGACCTCAGCAGACTCTGGTGGAGGCTCTTGTGTGGCCTGCGTGACAGCAGAGGTTTTGTCAGCATCAGCAACGGTTACATTAGGTGGCAGGGCAGGCAAACTGGCGGCTTCTTCGATAGGCTGCTTTTTCCAAACCTGACCCCACAGCACTGAAACCTTGACTGGGGTTTTGTCTCGTTGGGTATCAGGAGGAGGTAGTTGCGACCACATTCCAGCAGCACAGTGTGGTTCCTTGCCTAGTAAAGGATCTGGTAGTTTTGCCTCAGCAATTACGCAGAGTTCATCAGTATCATCTCCAATAAGCGCTGGATCTTGCACCACAGCAGGTTCTTGATCTTGGCTGGGCTGCTTATCATCAACCTCACACCCCAGGACTGAAATCATGACTGGAGGTTTAGCTGGCAGGGTATCAGGAGGTAGTGGCAACAGTGTCTCAGCAGAGTTTGATTTCTGGCCTAGTAGAGGTTCTTCTTCAAAGGCCTGACTGAAGGCAGAGGGTTCATCTGCTTTGGCTGAAGGAAGTGGAGAATCAGAGAAGAGAGTCATATTCAGTTCTGGTTCTTGTTTGGGCTGCTCATCTGCAACCTCACTACCCAGGACTGAAGCATTAACAAATACTTCAGGGGGCATGGTAACATGAAGTGATTGAGGTTGCACCATTGCAGGCTCTGGTTCAGGACAAGGCATTGTCTGTTGAGCTTGTTCATCCACGCTGAAGATGCCAGGAAGTTCAGCATTGCTCAGAGGGAAAGCAGTTTTATCTCGAGGAGTCAAAAAAGAGGATGGAAGGGAAATGTTTGCAGAGTCTAGATCTCGGAGAAGTTTCACATCCATTGCCTTACCTTCCAAGACTGAAGCTGTGACATTAGCTACAGAAAGCAGGGTTACAGGCAGAGCTGGGCTTTGTGTAGCCTGGCTTCTATTCAGTGACCCCTGGACAGAAGTGATGGATGAAAGTTCGTCAGCAGGTATATCTGAGTGAGTCTGAGGCTCAAATAGCACACAGATGTGTTCCACTGCAACACTTGTGATGCCTTTCAACACCTCTGCTTCAAAGCTGTTCAACTTCCTCCTCAGAGTATCTGGAGGATACATCTTCCTGACCCTTCCCTCAATTGAGAGGACCATATCGTCTCTTTCTGATCGGGAATAGGTGACTTGATGGTGCGTGGTAGACATTAAGGTGGTGGAGACTCCATCCAGAACAGCTTTGGTGACGCTTACAGCCATTTCAGAGAGCTTCTGGGAGGGCATGTCGCTGGATGTCGTTCTTTTAGGCACCCAGAGGCCCTGCAGGACTCTTGGAACCAAATCCAGCACCACCTCCTGTGGGCTCAACAGTTTGGAGATGGGAGGATCCTGTTGCTGCTCCACCAGGATCCTGGCATATTTGTGTGCCTGGCTAAGGATCTTCTGATGTTTATAGGAGGGAGGAATGTCCTCTGGAGAGTCAATCAGTCTTTTTGCTTGAAACCCGACATCTCTCCTCTGCATGCTGGTGTTAACCTCCCACACCAGCTTGAGAAGAAGCTTCACCTCCTCTTCGTCAAAATCATCCATCTCAAACTCCCAGAGCTGCACCCTCAGGGACTTTTTACTCTCTTCCAGCAGCAGGTCAGTCATGTCTTCAACAGTAAGCTCAGATGGAAGCTGCTTCTTCTGTTGAAGGTTTAAAAGTTCAGCCACCACTGCAACCTTCACTTTAAAGGATTGAATGTGCCAACAGATCTGTTTGGCACGTTCATAAATCGGTGTGTCAAACAGCACCCTGATCGACTTGTAGACTCCTCCACTTCCCTCCACGAACTCCATGATAAACCTGTTTCTGTATTAAAATACAGAAAAGGATAACGCAGAACAACACAGACAAAACAACAAACAAACAAACAAGACCAAATAACTTTTGAACGCTTTGAATACAACAATTTCTCTAACCACTCTCTTTCACAACTATCTCTCACGCCTATCTCAAACCCACAAACTCCAAAGTAGACCAAAAGGGTTGAAGAACCAGTCATCGGAACAGATTTTGAGATGCTGTGATGTCATAATCAACAACAATCTACAACTCAACAACATAGAACTCATAATTTCACACTCCTATCGCCATGCCGACAAATATAGAAGGACTAAATGTAGCACATGCTAAAATGTATCAACAGTTATACCCTGTTTGAATCCTTGTTAATTGTCCCTTAAAATGAAAAACTCACTCCAAAACAGAGTCCCAAACCATGAATGGGTGTGTTTTGTTAAGACTGTCCTCCACAGAAAAATAACAACATCATTAATTCATCTTTTGCTCCACAACAAAGTATTGTCCGTCCTCTACGTCCCGTTAAAAATATAAGCAAAAGAAGTTTAAATGAGGTTGTTAATGAGCTATAAATTCCATGTAAGTGTTTAGTACCTAAAAGCATGACCATGAGTGTGTGTGACTATTATTTACCATTCAAGGCAAGGCAAGTTTATTTATATAGCACATTTCAACAACAAGGCAATTCAAAGTGCTTCACACAACATCAAAAGCATCATGACACGGGGCGCTGGTGGCGCAGTGGTTAGAGCGCGCGCCCAGGCGGGCGGCCCGGGTTCGGGTCCGGCCTGTGGCTCCTTTCCCGAATGTCATTGTGGTAAGCTAAGTTTATTTCATTTGGCTAGCTATGCTATTGAGAAACAGGCTTCCATTACACATTAATAGACTAAACAAAGATGATGGAGAAAAAAAATTACCATTCTGTGACAGACAGGTCTGATAGAGGAGTTAGCTGAGGCCTCGACAGTTGAGAAGGGAATGTTTTTCCGCGAGTGGGCGTGGCTTCGGCGCATTCAATGGACACGCCCACAGCATCCCAGAGGAGAGACAACAGCTACATTTTTCATGATTTTGAAGCTTAATTTTATACACTTATATGGTTTTTTTGTTGCTGAAATGTCACCTGGTGGTTGATAATACATTCTTCTTTTGTATAAAACATGTATTTATTTTGGTTTACAGGGACTTTAAGATTCAATCTTCCCAAATGCATAGTTTAGGATGCGGAAGCAGCTTAGAATAGTCATCTTAAAGAGGTCAGTTTGAGGTCATGGATATAGCCTACTAGATGGCATATGGCTCCTTTTAATGGGGTGTGTATCTGATCCCCTTCCACACCATCTTCTCTTGCAACAATAAAACTGTCGACACACATGTAGTATTAAACTATGATTAAATAAAATATTGTATTTAGAGCAGCATATGTAAGGTCCTACTTGTGAATAACTGTGATTAGGGAGGTCATCTAATCCTCTGCTCTCTTTTCCTGTTAGAAACGGTGGGCCTTTAGGAGCAGATCGGTGCTCTGTTATATCTGCCTCGGTGATCTTACAGCTCCTCTGGACAAAACCCCACATAGAGGGTCCATCACGGACAGGGCCCACTGCCCAGGGGCGCGCACAGAGCTCCCTTTCTTTAAGAAAAGTCAAAGGGGAATTCCTTAAGTTGGATGCTGCGGTGATGAGAAGCCTTTTCATCCGGCTGTTTTTCAGAGCCTCCACTGGCTGCGTTAATTACAGGGCCCGGGGCTGCACTTTGAGCTCACTGCGCTCATGCAGGCTCTTGAGAAAAAGCCGCGCGTCTGATTCTCACGACACATAAAAACAAACTACACACACACACACACACACACACACACATTCAAATAGACGCGCACACGAATGCTCGCGCCCGCCTGAACCAGCGGAACCAGTCAGCCAGCTGCAGCTCGGGGACATTCCTGTCTTGTCTTCTGCAACTTCAGCCCGCAGACAGACACCAGTAGGGACGGACACCGTTGGAGGACATGAGCTGTGTTTTTTAAAAGGAATTTTCTCAGCAAGACTTGCGAGGATGCGGAGCGCCATTCCTCCAGCTCGACCTCATTGAAACTTTTCACGAGAAACACAAAGCAGCGCAGAGGAAGGCGCAGGACCCCGCAGCCTGTCTGTCGGTCACCGGAGACGATGTGAGACTAGATCCACTTCGGCACGGGAACACCATGGCTGTGGACGGTAAGGGCTTTTATCCGGTCGATACTTTAATAAATCGTCGAAATATTTATTAGAATAGTATTTTCAAAGGAAACTTGAACCAGGCATGGGGTCGTTTGTTTAACCCAGTACTTGCGAGACAGGTCGACCAGGTATGTTAGAGGTATTGTAACATGACGCCTGCTGTATTCTTGCTCATAGTATGACGTAAAGATGAACATTTGTAAAACATGAATTTACCTAAATCGGATGAAAATGAAAAACACAGCAGCTCAGCTAGACTACTTCAAAGTTAGTGCTGTTTAAACTGTCCTTTCGGACATTTTTGATGTTTTAAGAAACAAAGGGGAGGTCTTAAGTGTTTTCTGGAGGGCAGGCCCGTGACCTGGTGCTGAAACGGACAGCGCACTATAAGAGACCAGCATAACCAGTCTGATGGTGTGTGGTCAGTGGCAGCAAAGACTGTTTACTTTTTTATTTGACAGCTACACTTAAACGCCTTTAGAATTGTAATGTTTCTCCTCCTTTGATTTTCCCCCATGAATTTATTAAGCCATGAAAAAATAAACATTGGAGAAGCTTTAGTCAAATCCGTCTAAAAGCTTTACACTGCAGTGTAGTCTGACGGCAAAATACCAAATCAAACATATCACAAGGAGGCGAGACTCTTCACAGTATGTTCAGTAAGATTTCTCTTCATCAAGGAATTCTCCAATGCGGTGCTGGCAGCTTAAAGCGTGTTAGTTAATGAGGACTTTTTTTCTCTCATAAACAGGCAAAGCCAGAGGAAGAAGTTTGACAAGTGGTCTTAATTATCCGTATTTAATCCAGGAATGGGGCATATTTGTGTTTACAGCTGCAGCCTGAGGGAGTAGTTCCACTGAAGGAAAGTTCATACTTAAAAAGTCTTGGAGTTGCACCTCAAAGAAACTAAAAATCGCATCGAGAGTCTCATTCATAATATTCAGAAGCTGCTGGTTTCTCTTGATGATTGCAGGACTCGTCTCTGCTGCGCTCTCAGCAGGGGAGACGATGAATGACAGAAGAGGGAGGCACAAAGCGAGAAAACCAAAAGACTCTCTTTCATCCCCTCAAACTCTTCGTCTCCCTTGACACTCTCGCTCGTTCTGTCCTCTTTTTAAATTCTCTAAGTCAATTTAAGATATTGAAGACGAATGTTAGAGCGCACACAAACAAACACAGCTGCACACACAGCTTCAAACGCAGCGAGAGAAGTCCTCCAATCTGGCACATGAATCAGTAATGACCTGTGGCTTACTGCCAAGATCTCTGTGCCAGAAACAGCGTGTTTACTGTAGTTCCACACTTTCTTTAATTACTGGATGTTGGGCAGCCACCTGCTGTTGAGAGTTGAGTGGGTTTGGATGTGTGCCTGTAGGCCGCCCCATAATGATGAGAAAGTGGATTGTCTCACAGCTTTGACATTCACCAACATGCTCTGCACAGAGTAATAGTTGTACCTGAACTGTGACTAACCAGAGTTCCAGAGCTTTAACTATTCCCTTAGTAACAAAAGAGCAGGCACGAGCATGTACTACGTAATGAGATCATCTGTGAATGACAGGGTGTCCAGGTGGGTTCCATTCTGTCTTTTGTTTTCAAGTCATGCAGAGTGAGGTAGTTTCTGCTGAGCGTGTCTCCTGCTGCTATACATCATCAGTGTTTACATGCAGACCCCGGCCGTCTAATCATCAAACCTCCTGCTTTGATCTCTTCAGCGGCATCCAGTTTCAGTTTCTGCCGACCGGCCGTGGAGTATAGAGCGCTGCCTGAGGACTTCAAGCACCAGCTGAGTCGACGGACAGGTGGGAATCTAACCTGGCATGACGGGCGTGGGCAGAAAACAGCAGGAGGCAGGAGAGTGAAGTTGCTGCAGCAACCGGGGACAGAAGCCCTGCAGGTACTGAACACCTACAGGACATCAACATGTCAAACAGCACACCTGAGTCATGAACTGATTTTGTGTGACTACCTGGAGTTTTCTATATTCTCCAAGGTCAAGGAGATATGGTTATTTCTGCATCGTGTTGCTCAAAGTCAAACTTAAAATAGATATGAAGTTATATATCCTTGATGTTATCGATTGCATACCTAATTGGTTTAAATTATCATTGAAACGATTATTATAATAAAAGAGCTAGCTGAAGTGTCTGCATCATATGGAACAAGAGGTCATTATAGTCAAATTACATTTTGCTAGAAAGTTGAAGTTATGTGTTTTCTCCCACTTCAGCTCATAAATAGCAATCTAATGTGTTATATATCATTAAATCAAATGTTTGTCTGTTGTCTTGCCAAATTAAGTTCTAGATATTCCTCTCTGGTTCTAAGTTGCTGTCAGATTTTTGTCCGGAAAAGTCTGAAAGGCAAATTTCCTAGTCTAGCAAAGTGCAGCCAGTCATCATCCATTGTTGCAAATGGGCACTTTGTTAGCAGAGAATGGAAGTTGCTCTCTCCCCAGCGGGTCTGTGGGCTCTAACAGCCTTTAAGCATGGCTTTAAATAGCACAGGTCCTCCAATACTATTGCTGTGCTGCAGCACTACAGTGTCTGTTGATTCAGAGCATAAAGAAAATAATGTAGTTTGACACCATTTATTTATTTAATTGTTAATTTAAAAATAGGGACAATGCACATTAGTGAACATCAACATGTTAATATGCCAGAGTGTAGCCATAAGCTAATTTCAACGTGTAGTCCCTCTGCAGGTCGGTGGTACACACGTATAAAAATCTACAAATAACCACAATGACAAACAAAATCCAAACAACAAGTAATGACCAAACAACAACATAAACCGTACATTAAAAAGAGTGAATAAAAAAGTGTCTGTGTGACCTTGTTCAAAACAAACCAATGTTTGAAGCATATACAATCCGTGGTTGTTATTGTGGCGTTATGAACAGCATGCAAAACCATTTTTCTCTACATCTTGTGTGAAACGTCGCCCAGTAGCCGGTCTGCTCTACTTCTAATATCTTTTTCTTATTAGATTTTCCTCCGAGTTTATCCGATACAGCTTTGTTAGCTTGCACAGCCATCAGAGACAATCCGTGTGTGCTGTAAACTGGCCTCATTTAAAGCTCTTTGTAACAAAGTCAGAGAGCCCGTCCCTTTGTCTTCACCCCATGGAAGTCTCTTTTTAAAGGCTGTAATGAGCTGAAGCCAAAGCTGCAGACATAGAACTGGGTCGGGCTGATAAAGAAGTTTTAAACAATGTGTTGTTTGTTTGCTTCAATCCTCTTAGATGAACATAATGCAGCGGTTGGTTTATTTTTGTCCCGAGCAACAAGAACTTAATCAGTGTTGTGTGTTTGGAAGTTTTATTACAGACGAGCATGTGAACTGTCTTTTCACTCTTTCACATCTTCTCATCCTTTATTTTTTTTTTTTTATGTTTCTCATTTTATATTGTGCTCTTATCCACGCTACAATCACAGACGTCTCACTAGTGCTCTGTACATGTTGGTTCTTGTGAAAAGGAGAAAAAAGCAGTAAGCAGTCATTATGGTGTCATTATGATCATTAATGTTTCACCACTTTGAGCACAAAAGCAGTTTCATTCATTCTGTAACTATTGGCAACAATGTTGATCATAGATTAAATACAAGTCCCTTTTTTAAGCAAATGTGTCAAACTTTTCTTCTCTTCCTCTATTTGCTGAGAATTTGAGGACTTGAATTGACTTTATTTGATATCTTTGGATCCTAAGCAGATGGTTACACAAAACAAACGAGTTTTGGTGTCTTTTACTTCAGGAAACTGTGATGGACATTGTTCATTATCTGACATTTTATTGGACACACAAATGTCTGAATGGACAAAATATCAGGGTTATGTCAGTATGTAATAATTATAACCAACACTTGCAGCACTGGTTGACATTGTGATAACAACAACAAACTGTCTGTAAAACACATTTAAAACAATATAGGTTTAATGAATTAAGGAAAGAGTTAGCTTTTTATTGACAAAGCAAAGTACAACATTTATTTACCTGTACACACTATGAGGAGCACCTGTCCAGTTTGTATGATATTCAAGGCTTCTCTCTATTGATTTAAGAAACCAATTCAGAAGTTACAAATGCACACATTTTGCAGCAATGAAGGATTTTAAGGCAGCACCAGTTTCAAGATAACACTCCTGTACTGAGTTGAAAAGTGCAAGTAGAATGATAGAAAGGAAACGGCTGCTCGTTGGTGGTGGAGTAGGGAGTATTCAGTTTGAAGAAAGAAGAAATGGGGTTGGTCTAGCAGTTAAGTCACATCCCATATATGTAGGCTATAGTCCTTGAGCTGGTGGCCTGGCGTTGAGTCCAACCTGTGGCTCCTTTTCCGCATGTTTCCACATTATTTATTACAATGAATAACATGGAAATGTGACTTAGAAATACTTTGGCGCTTGCACTCTATGGGGTGGTTGATGTGTTTGGAGAATGACAATTGTGAGCGTCGACAGAATAAATCCCCCCCCATGGAGTCCAGACACTGGTGGTGGTGAAGCTGATGACTTCATGAGACCGGATAGGGTGAAGGATGATAGGTTGAAAATGAGGGAGGAACGCCATACAATCGGTTAGATGAGTACCGCTGACGAGACAGCTGATTATCCAATGACAGCCGAAAAAAAGACAGCTCGAGAATGACAGTAGAAACATGAGTGAGTGTGCAAAAAGGGATGAATGAGAAAGACCCGATCTTGAAGGCAATTATAGTCTTCCTGACTGAACTTACGCTATAGCTTCTTTTAAATGACCGTATTGTTAGTCTTTGTTACGTCTCTTGCCTTTCTTCTACTCTGCTACTCCGGTTAAGAAAACTGAGCTGTCGATCATAATGTTACCTCCGCTCTTTTTTTGCATCAAAGAACAACAGTTGAGGCTGGCTGCAAAGAATCCAATTAGGGCCAGTATTAAAATGCCCATTTTATAGCAGAAATACACACATGTTCAAAGCCTGGTACAAAAAACTGGTTTGGTCAGAATAGTTTCTTTGTTGGTAAAAACTTCACAAGGGGTGAGTTTTTTTGATTACCTATCCATTTTGAGGCTAGGAGTTATGCCTACATTTGCATTATTAGGGGAGGTCAGAGTTGACTGACAGGTGTGAGCATTGTAGCTGTTTACCAGGAGGCTAAAAGTCTGTCCATCGAAGCTCCACCTCTTTGCCTGTTTCTAGATTAATTGAAAGTCAGGTGGAGATAGCATTTCCAACATGTAGACCAACATTGTTAAGCTTCATAATGCCTCTTCAGAAACCAATTAGTGACATCACAAACAACATCTGCATGTTTAATCATTGATACAATGGATACTAAGTTGAACAAATCTGACTCCAACAACTCATTATAATTTAATTTGCACAATACTGAAGGCCTCATCAGATAAACATCATCTTTTTCAGCAGGGCCTCTTATGTGTACTATATATACTCAGTATTTATTTAGAAGCTACATGTTTCTCTCTTACAGATGAACTCCCCAGCACAAATGTAACCTCCCTTCAGGAGTCTTAGATGTGAGCCAACTTTTCTCTTCTTTTTTTTTTTTTTGGAATAATCTCTCCTGCATCAGAGAAAATCTTAGAAGTGCTGAACCTGCTGAATTTTTAAAACTGAATGAAGGATCAAAGGCCCGGTTTGGTTGGTCTCCCATAATTTTACATCCTGTAAGGTTAAAGAGCTATATCTCATGATCACACTGGCAGTCATGCTCCTCTGACTATGTTGCTGTTGCTGGATGCTGCATGCTGGCTGCTCTTTATAGACGACTAAATATCAATGCAGAAGAGAGAGCTGCTCTTCTCACTTCCTCGTGTATTGATTCATGTACTGTATTTGCATCCGGTCCCCACAGAGGCAGTTTGTCTGAAGGTGTTACTGAATGTTGAACTTGTTAACGTGTTAAACATTGTTTTCAGAGTTGACACATTATGTACATTGAAGACAAGCAAAAGTGTGTTTGAATATCTGATCGCATGGTGTCATGGATGTGGGATTTTTAAGGCAGCAGTGGATGTAATAGTAAGGTTTGGAGTCAGATAGAAGATTGTTTAGTACTGGCATTTTAAAAAAGCAGCTTTGAAGGAATAGATTGAAATTCATGCTTATTTTTTCCCCTATAGGACCTGCATAGTATTTGTTTCTAACGGCCCTACATACACTAATAGTACAAGTTAAAATGCTAAGGAGTGCCATCTTAACAGCAGCCCATATACAGTAAGAGTTGTGACTGGGTGCAATGCTGCTAAAATGTGCAACTTTTTGTATGTGCTGTGCTGGAATTAAGCTGTATTTGCTAGTTATCTGTATGAATGACATATACTATCTTCCTATCAACACAATAAATCAAAATATGTATCATGATTTCTCCAGTCAGTGCTCCACAACACACAATCATGGGGGTTGCACAGCTTGTAAGTTTCCCTTTTACCTCGCTCAAGTTTCTTGTTTTAGATAAGGAGATTGATGGCACGCTAATTTCTGCATGATAGATATGAATCTGCAACCAACAGGCTAGCTTAGCTTAGCACAAAGACTAGAAAGAGGTGAAATTTGTTGTTGTATGCCCTGCTTTTTGCATGAACTCAACCAACAGATAAAAGGCTCTAGGCATTCTGTTTCACTTGTGTATTTATGAACTAATGAACATGATGTTTTCTGTATGTTTTTTGTTTTTAACTGGCAGCAAATGCATCTCCCTTGTGGGACAATAAAGTTGATGCTTTAGCGGTGCTGGTAGAAAGATGCTGTTACCTTTAAGCAGAGCTAGGCTAGCAGTTTCCTCTTGTTTACTGTCTCTATGTTTAGCTAACTGTATGTTGGCTGCAAGACGCATCCGGCCTTGAAAAGAGAAGCCAATGCAGAAGTGCAAAATCCTGCAGTTTGTCGAGTGTCCGCTTGAGGCTAGCTCCAGGAGCCCAAGAAGTCACATACACACCACAGCCAAAAAGCCTGTTTTTACACTAGAAATTAACATGATTACAGCCTGGTACAAAAACGAAATAGGATTGATTATTTATTGTCATCATGGTTACACACTGTACTGGTGATGGATTATTTTTATACGGCTCTGTTTTGATTTTATGAACGACAAGTGTTATCAATAATTAGGAGCGTAGCATAAATGATTGACAGGTGGGCATGATGTAACGATTTGTCATAATGCTCAAAACCCGCCTCTGTTCCAGCTCTCGGCCTGTCGTTAGGTTGACTGAAATTTAGGCTGAAACAGGATTTCCAGCATGCTGCTGCCGATGAGCCTCCAGAGCCCCCCGCAGTAACAAATGGGTGACGTCACTCAGGCTTCATCCATTCATATTTACAGTCTTGTTTTGCTCTAACTTTGTATTTACTTTACAAAGAGAAGATTGATTTTAGTCTCGTCATAAATCTTTTGACAAAATGTTGGACTTTTTATCTGAAGCATGTTCTCTGTTTTAATCTGTGTATGTTCCTGTCTGTGTGTCCGCAGTACCGTTCCAGGACAACTACGGGATATATCACACAAGCCCGACACAGCCCAGCCTGATACGCCCCGTCGTGCTCTGGTCGCAACAAGATGTTTGTAAATGGCTGAAGAAACATTGTCCACACAACTACCTTACCTACGTGGAGGCGTTTTCGCACCACGCCATCACAGGTCAGACTGCTTACATCATCCTCAGACCTTTAAATGCAAAACGAATGAAAGGATTGCATAATCAAAGCTTTTCAGATTATTTGAGCCCCTTGCTTTCACCCCGCAGGCCGTGCGTTGTTGCGTCTGAACGGAGAGAAGCTGGAGAGGATGGGACTTGTGCAAGAAACACTTAGGCAAGAGTTGCTCCAACAGGTGCTACAGCTTCAGGTGCAGGAGGAGGGACGCAACCTGCAGCTGCTCAGCAGAGGGGAGGGTGTGTGTAATTATATTTTTCAACACTCTGTCTTCAAACTTTGACTTTAAAAGAAGGTCTTTTATTACAGGAGTTCTGAAGAAGCTTACTCACTCTCTGGCAGAGGGATACAAAGATTGTTTCCACTCTCATCAACCAGCCAGCAGTCGAATTAATGAGCTTAGTATAAAGACTTGAAGCAGGGAGACAACGTTTAGCCTGACTCTGTCAACAGATAATTAAATCCTTCTACAAACACAACAGACATCCCATACTGTATCTTTAATTTGCAGAAAAACTAATGTGTTAAAACAATGTGCTGTTTTTCTAAGGGTTGTGCGCTCGACCAGTCTCAGCTGGTTGCCTGGCAACTGCTCAACAATTATCCAACACATAACTCCCTCGAAAAATGTAAGTTGAAGTTTGAACACTTGTGTTATTGTACAGCTTAAACAGCTGATGGGTTAAAAACAAAGAGTTGGAAGTGCTAGGTGGATAGATTTTGGTTAATTGAGATAAGCCAGGCTGGTTGTTTCCCCAGTTTTCAGTCTTTAAACTAAGCTAAGCTAGCTGGCTGCTTGCAGTAGCTACATATTAGATATACAGGAACAAGATTAGTAATAGAATCAATCTTCCAATCTTACTCTCAGCCTGACGGCAGACAGGCATATTTACAAAAAAAATGTTGAACTTCTGCTTGTTGTGTTCTCTTTAAATGATTCATCTTTTTGTCTTTCACAGGTTCCTTTGGTAAAATATCATAGCAAGGTTGCTGGGACAAGTGGACTCTGAGGAATTATTGGATATTTACTCAAATGTCAAACAGATCGCTGGGATAAATACATCCAGTGAGCAGCGATATCCAGACTCATGCTGTCGCGTGGAAGTTGGCAGCTTTTCATTCCTTATCTGCAGGATGAACAGACATAATCACTACGGACTGACTATGAACTGTGATGAAGAAGCTCCATGACAATCTGTTTTGTTATCGCTTAATTCTGTGTAACTATTATGAACATTTTATCTTTTTTTTGTCTCTGTGTGAAGTTTTTTTTTTTTTTTTTTAAATGTCAGAAAGCAAAACAAATAAAGAAATATTAAAATATAATTTATTTATCTTATTGGCTAGTAGTACATAACAGGGTCAATTTGGTGTTCATTATCATTTTAAGAGCAGCTGCGAGGGAGCACGTGATGGGAAAAACACCATTACCCATAATCCCACAGCACATTTAAGACGGAATCCATCCATGGCTCTGACCAGCCGATGCCGGCTCCGAGGTCGCAGGATCCCCATGGAAACGGAGTGCGGAAAAACAATGTCGTCCCGCTCGGACAGGTACATGATGTTAAGAGTCATTTCATCACCTGTGTTTTCTTCATTTATATCATTTATTCTTCATTTATTCTGCTCCGCCCTGCTGCTCCATGTAACGTAGCGCTAACCACAATGACTTCCCTGCTCATCCTCCCCTACACATCAACAAAAGGCTATCTCTATATTAGAGACATATTCCGTCTCTGATATTGAATATGTTTTTTTGATTAAAGCCATCTCTGTGAGTATGTTTCTCAGAACGCACAGTGAAACGTTAGTGGCTTTAGGTCCGTAAACAGCGTTAGAGACACCCAGCTGATCAGAAGTAGGTGAGTTGCATATTGACACAGTTGTGCGTCACAGGCTGCGTAACGTCAAAACATTACAAAATCTTTTATATATACCTTAAATCAGTGGTACTTAGCCTTGTTAGACTTAAGAGCCACAATCAAAAAAACCTCTTTCTTTCCTAAAATATGTGTGGGAAACACAGCGACATGACTTGCAAAAAAAAAAAAAAATTCTACTGACAATGTTTTTCCTTTTTTAAATAATTACTTTGAATTTATTTTTTTTCAAGTAGGACCTAAAAGAGCCACAACTAGTCCCAAATGGGACTAGTATAGTTGAGTATCACTGCCTTAAATAGTTCTTTAATATTAAATTATGTTCCGTACACATTTTTTTATTATATACCATCTGCAAGTAAATCATTTTAAAGTTGCTGAGATTGGATTACGATATAATTTAGATTGAATATTTCCCTCTGAATGGGAGTGAAGTAGAAGTTGTAAAGTCACATACTCAATGTACTCAAAGTTCCTTACTTGATTTGACACACTTGCTGATTTACCGCACGCTGTGTATTTATGATAGCCTGCATTATTTCCTAATGAGAGCATTGGCCTTTTCTTTTGTTTATGTCATTGTTAACTGAATGCATTTGAAAGTTGGACCCATTTTTGGACGAAATACACCTTTTGAAGGCTCTGGAAATCTTCGACAGATATGTTTTACACCCTATAGTTATGTGTCAGTGTGTTATTGATTTCAGTGTAGTTGGTGTTGTAATGATTCTGTGTGGTTTAGATCAGTAAACTGAGAGGAAGGATCAGCAGAAGACGTTGGTCCTGTCCTGCTTTTGCCTGCAGGTGCCTCTATTAATACCAGCCAAGCAGCTCTCTGTGTGTCAATGATCCTCTTAGTGTCTAGCGCACACACACACACACACACACACACACACACACACACACACACACACACACACACACACACACACACACACACACAGGAGGAGGAGGTGGACAGAGAGAAGGAGCAAGGTGCAGTCGTCGATTTCTTAGTGAATGGATGGAGTGAAAGAAACAAACTTGTGATTTACCGAAGACTTTGGTCAGTGTTACTGTTATTTTGAGGAGGTTGCCACGGAGACAGGGAAGCTGGAGGGTAGCAGGTTGTCTGATGCAGACATGACTCTGCTTGACTGTGCTGGAGCCAGAATCTCAGGCTGCTGGTCCCTGAGGTCTGACCGCAGGTAAGGTCTGAATGTTGGTTTTGTTTTCTTTCAGTGCAACAAGGACACTGTTTTTTTTAATCTCTCACAAAGCCCCCAAACGCACCATGAATGTGTTAGTTATAAATAGTGTCTAAACAGGGGTTGTAGCGAGGTCAGAGAAGTGCAGGATGTAGGTTAGTTTGGATTTTGATGAGTGTTATCTGTGCTCAGTCACAGCGGGTTGTCTGAAGTGTGTCATTACTGAACGAGCATTTGAAAGTGCATCAACGCTTGAATATGCAAAGCATTCATGAGCCCTCTCTTTGAATTAGAGTTTGTGTGCATATAAGAAGTTGTGCATTATGTAAGAAACCAGCAGATTTTTAATTACTGCCAGTGGGAATGCAGGAATCTCTTAAAGTAGCTTCAGAGGGTGTGACGCAAAAGGCTAATCTGACTTTTATTTGGGCCATAGTAAACAGCAGTGCAACGGACTAATCTTAATGTGAAGTAAGCTGTGATAGCAAAAAGTAACTTGAAGAAAAAACATGCAGTGTTGAAAAAAAGTACAGAGTCTTAACTAAAAATAACAAGAGTTCTAATTGAAGAGGGAAAAATCCCCTGTGGGTGAAGTATTGATCAAATGATCTATAACTACTCTGAATATGTACGATTGTATAAAGTTTCATTACATTATACTTTGTGCAGTATTTTCACAGCTTTGCTCTGTCAGTGGTTTTAAAGAAGAATACTTTTTTACTGTTTTTTAAAGTTGTGACTTTTGTGCAGATTTTTTTCATGCTCAATCCAGTTATTGTTGTGTTTGAAAAGAATAATCAAAAGGCTGTTACTGTTACACACAGTGCCCTTTGTGACACAATAATGTGTTTTTCTTCTCCTACAAACAGTCCAAACCTCCAAGAGAAACAGCTTACCAGATTCAAGATGAGAAAAAAACAGTAAATCAGTGTTTGAGGTTGAAATCATGTAACGTTATGAAAACGTTTTACATTAATAAGTTGTAATGCACCGATGGTATCAAGAATCAGAATTTCAAATGTTCAGCTGTTAAATGATGTACTGGAGTGAAAAGTACAATAGCTTACGATGTCATTGTCTTCCAAAGGTTTATTTTGGGGGGTTTTATGCCTTTTTTAGTGTCAGAAATCAGATATAGAGAATGGGGATTGACATGCAGGAAAGGAGACTCAGTACATGGGGCGTACGCACTAACCACTAAGACACTGGTGCCCCAACTTACAATAAAATTTAGTGAATTATTAAGAATTTTGTTGTGGAAATACTCAAATCAGTAGTACTTCAAACGTATACTTCAGTACACGGTGTGTATTTGACCTTCACAGCGCAGTCTTACACAACACACTTAACAACTCACTCAACATTGTGTTTGTGTAACTGCGTAAATGTTTTCTTCTTGCACAGCAAGGTTTTTGGAATATTTGAAATTGTATGCTGAAGCTTGTTTGGTTCTTCAAAGCAGCGCTGTTTGATCTGTAAACGTTCAGTTAACATGAAACAAAGAAGATGAGTTCTACATGTGTACTTTTTCATAAGATCAAGATGAACTTTAGTCCACCATGCTGTAGCCATAAAAAGACAACATTCAACATCATGCACATTAAACATGAAACAATGAACATTGTAAAAATAATCTCCAGAAAAACTAAGACAAACCTAAGTCTCCTGCTGTGCAGATTTTTTTATTTTCATTACAACAACCCAAATGTACTTCAAGCATCAGTTTACTGGAGGCTCGACTCTGGTCAGGTGGATTTCCATCTGCTCTGCCTATACCTGTCATGATGCTGGTTTTATGAAGACCAAGGGGACCACATTTAAACATGAAGTTATGTGTTAATGACTGTTTCCTGCTTTACAGCAGACAAACGTTGAGGCCTTTTTCTGTATTCAAAGTGGACTTTGAATTATTTGTTTTCGAAAATGTTATGAAATCGTGAGAACTTGAAATTATAATTTTTGTGCTTCCAAAACTTGAAACTGAAAGAAATAAAAATGCTTTCCCATAGGATGAAGAAAAGCAGAGATTACTCTTAGAATGGAAAAATGTTTGATAGTTTATCTTGAAGAGTTTTTCTTTATACTGATGAAATAATAAATATATAAAAGTAAGTCAGGTTGAGCCGTTTTATTCCCAAAGACTTGTATCAAAACTCGTCTTCATACCATCTATCAACAATTTGGAATTCAGTAAAGTTTGAAATCGGTACAATTGAAACAAAAGTCATTTTTACATAATAAACTTGTCTTGGCCTTTATCAGTGGTTTAGCCCTTAAATCTGTTGATATTTAATGACTATTTAATGGGCTGTCTGCATTTTCTAGTTAATGGTGATTAATTTAGGTCTGCTGCGTTAGTACATTCATAAAGTAGATGATGAAATTTATCTGAAAGCTCTGAAAAAATTCTGAGATGTTAGATTATTTTGCCAAACTCTTTTCAAATCCTACATTTCGTATTTGGTATTGCGTCTGGATTTCATACACAACACTTAGAAGGATAAATAAGCTTTAATCATAATTTAGATTTGTATTTTGCATCTTTTTAAAGAATGTGTTTTTAAAGTGGAAGTAGAGCACTTCTTTAACGCTCTCCTGCGTAGAGAAGACACAGCACAGCTGACTGAAGACACAATACACCTGACTGTGTGTGTGTTCATGTTGTGACCTGCCCTGCTGCTGTGTGCTTGTTGTTGCAGTGGGAGTGGGGAGGACTCGTTGGACCGGCTCCTGCCCCCCGCCGGGGCCCCTCGCAGAAAGAGCACTACCTCACTGAGTACCACAGAGCCTCCTCTGCTACGCACGAGCACACGCACCATCTACACCGCAGGTCGACCTCCGTGGTATGACGAGCACGGAGCTCAGTCAAAGGAAGCCTTCGCCATCGGTATGACACTCACCCTTGATGTTTTTACTCCTCGTGACTGTTGTTGTTTTTTTTCACCTCCTTCATGTCAAATTGTAGCTTTGAGCAGCACAACCTGTTCTTTTATTCTGCTCCGTCTTCTTCTACCCATAAACACTTTAATGCAATTGCACATGCATATACCGCCAGACAACGTTAGACACACTCTGAAACACAAACATAATGTGCTCTTTGAACTGCACTGTGGATCTGCAGGGTTGTGTGGGGGCAGCGCCTCAGGGAAGACCACAGTGGCCAACAAGATCATCGAGGCTCTGGATGTGCCGTGGGTGGTGCTGCTGTCGATGGATGCTTTCTACAAGGTGAGAGAGCGGTGCTGATTTGATCCTGTTTACGATGATTGTTTCACGTGAGGAGAAGTGGACATCTTGTAGTACTCACGCTTCAAACACGTCACAACAATCATTAAACTGCTGTCAGTTGTTATACTGTTAGAACTTAACAGCCCGCAAAGTAGAGTTCAGATATTTTGTGCATAAAAGGTTCAGATGAAAAAGCAAACGCAAACCAACAGGTGAGTGTGTAAGGGCTCACTCACCACAATAACTTGAAATCACTTTTTTGTTCTATAAACTTCATGTGGCATTTTTTCCTCTGGTGAGAAAAAAACTTGAATTATTAACTTAAATATTTTACATATTGACTTCCATCATCACACACACACACACACACACACATATGTAGAAGAGCTTGCAATAATATTATTTTTTACTTTATAATAAACTTAAGATTGTCTGTTTTCGGCTTTATGATTATTTATGATCAGATGATTTGACAGGACAATAAAGCCCCTCTTAACATGAACTTTACTGCTCAGGCCTAGCCTTGTGGTTAGTGTGTCTGCCCCATGTATGAAGGCTATTGACCTCGAAGCGGGCAGCCCGGGTTCAAATCCGTGGCTCCTTCCCTCACTCCCCACTGTTTCCCTCCATGATTTCTGGTCCTATCCACTGTCCTGTATCTAAAAACACCTTCCAAAAACAACTTTACTGCCCAGTGAGAGCGTCATAGCTGCAGTCCCCTCCAACAATCCAGAGGAACCTACAAGACGCTAGAGCTCCCAGGAAAATATGTGATTAGTAACTAAAGGCAGTAGGTTTCTTTCAAGCTCCGGGCAGATCCAGACTAGAGTTTTCATGCTTTGCTCATCCCAGGGTCATCGTTTTATACAGATATAAGAACAAAACCCGCTGATTTAAGTTACTTTTAAATCTTCAAATGTGCACATCAGCTATGTCCTCTGAACATAAGAACGTTAATTGTTGTGTTTTACAGGATTTGTCTTCCGAGGAGCAGGCGATGGCGGCAAATAACGACTACAACTTCGATCATCCGGGGGCTTTCGACTTCGAGCTGCTGGTGGCCACTCTGCGAAAACTGAAGCAGGGCAAGAGTGTGAAGATCCCCGTGTATGATTTCACCACGCACAGACGTCAGAAAGACTGGGTGAGGCGGTCTCTTTCTGTGTTCTTGTTTCTCTGCAGAAAACTCCGCAGTTAAGATTTTCACAAAGACTTGAAGTGTTTAAAGATTGAATGTGCATCCTGTAGTTTTGAAAAGGAGAACGTAGTTGTGATGCATTCGGTTCTTTTCAGTACTGTAAATATATTCTAGACATATATAATGTATTTTCAGTGTGCAGCTGTAATTGTAGAGAAGCTGAATTGACTGTCTATGAAAAACTCCTTCGTTGACTTTCTTCCTTTCATGCAGAAAAACGTGTACGGTGCCAGCGTGATCATATTTGAAGGAATTATGTCTTTTGCAGACAAAGAACTTCTGCAGGTGAGGCCATATGTTTTCTTTTACTTCTTTCTTTTTGAGTAATTCCTGTGTAAAGAAAAAAAGCAATCATCTCGTGGAGTTGTTGTTTGAGCAGCTGCTCAGCTTAAGCGAATGATTTTTCTGCTGGGTGTTTGCTCTTCCTACCTGCAGCTCCTCGATATGAAAATCTTTGTGGATACAGATTCAGACATTCGGCTCGTCCGCCGGCTCCGCAGGGACATCACAGAGCGCGGACGGGACATTGAAGGCGTCATCAAGCAGTACAACAAGTTTGTGAAGCCGGCCTTTGAGCAGTACATCGAGCCCACCATGAGGCTGGCAGATATCGTGGTGCCGAGAGGTGAGACCGTCTGACTTCTTCAAACCAAACAAGAACATTTCTACATTTTTTAAGCAACTCAGCAGTCACTGCTTGAATATTCCTTTTCTTGTTTTGTTTTTCTTCCAAGGTGGTGGGAATATGGTGGCCATTGATCTGATAGTTCAACATGTTCACAGCCAGCTGGAGGAGGTAAACACTGATTGTACAAAGGAAGGTGGCGCCATCATGTGGTTGAAAGTTGTAGCACACAGACAGAAAGTGAAGTCCTCAAATGTTTAGACAATAAGCTTCATCAGAACACCTCATTTAGAAACTCTCACCTTATCCAGGTGTTTGGTAAACTAAAAGGACAGTCTGGAGCTCTTCTGTTTTCTTCATGTTGTCAGCAAATACTGCGTAATTATTTCTCCGTCAAATATCTCCTTTGTTGTCCAAAGCTCAATCTTTAACTCTTTTTTTAAAGTTTTTTTTCTTGATAGAGAGCGAAGATTCATTTTTAAGATTTGCTCCTCGCTGCATCTGTGCAGCTGAGTCAGCACATATTTATTTACTTCAACAGTTTTCTAGTCCTTTAGTCAAACTATCTAAGACAGTGGTTCGCAACTCGTCTAGCCTCAGGACCCACCACCAACTAATCCATGAATAATCGAGACCCAAATTTTCTGATATTTTTCGAAAATTGTGCAGTTTGGACCCAGTCGGTATAAAAACGTGTGACAGAAGCAAGAAACTGATCAAAACAGAATATTTTAAAAGCGCCTCAGATACTTTTTTACACAAGTTTTTTTTCCAGGCACACCAATGAAATTGACTTTGCGACCCACGTCTGGGTCCCGACCCACCAGTTGAGAACCACTGATCTAAGAGAGATTGTGAATAAAGAATGAAACTCACAGTGTAGATATTTGGGAATCATTTGGGAAAACTTAGAACGCGCTGCCCTTTTTGGAAATCATTTGGTCTCTTTTAAAAACTAAGAATATTTTTCATCCCATTTACATTCTCTGTTTCTGACCCTTCTTAATGCAGCGAGAGCTCAGTGTCAGGTATGCTGTTTTCTGCCTTCTCTCAGTTGTAGTCTGTTATTGTAGTCTGTGCATGAACTCTTTCTGTGTTATGTCATGTTAAAACTCTTCATAAAGCCTGACTGCTTCACGTCTCCTCAGTGTAGCAGAGTAAAAACCGTCTTAACTGTTTAACTGAACCTCTTCTTGGTCTCAGGGCGCTCCTGGCCTCGGCTCAGCAGAATCAGCCGCTGCCGCAGACGCTCAATGTGTTAGAGAGCACGCCACAGGTCAGAGGCCTGCACACCATCATCAGGTAACCTAACCCAATCTGGAGTAGAAGTCCAAGAAAATAAAACATATTCGATATAAAACCTTTTCTGTGTCTGTAATGCAGGAATAAAGAAACCAGTCGAGATGAATTTATCTTCTACTCCAAGAGATTAATGCGGCTTCTCATCGAACATGCACTAACATTTCTGCCATCTCAGGTGGGTGGAACTTTACTCCTCAGTGAATATTCATGTAGCTATATTTAATATTTTTGTATGAATAATGGATCATTTTTATGTTAAAGGAAGTTGCTCATACTACCAAAACCCACCTAAAGTAACACCGAGCCCTGCAGTCCCCCTAAAAGGATTATGAATTTAACATCTTTTCTTTTACAGCTCACTGTACTTTGTCTGTTTGGTTCCCTCTCACTGCTTTAATCTCTCCAACGCAACAGTCAGCTGTTTCCTACTAAAATCCTCCAATAACGACTGTAGACTGTGTGCTCAGCAGACATACGCATTAGCAACTCGCTAATGAACGTAGCAAACCAGAATCAGCTTTATTGGCCAGGTATGCTCACACACACACACACAAGGAATGTGACTCAGGTGAACTGTGCTGTCTAAGTACAAAACATACAACAATAAATATCAACAATAAAGAAGATGATATACTTTATTAATCCTGCGAGGGGAAATTCAAGGTTACACTCTGTTGCAATGCGCAGGAAGTGAACTGGCATCTCTCCAGCTACCAGACAAATTTCCAGATTTGATCCGCACCGGGATTTAAACCAGCGACCCTACAGTTCCCACCCCAAGTCCCTACAGACTGAGCTACTGCCACCCCACACAAAATAAGCAAAGACTAATATTTACACGACTAAATGAGACAATAGTTGAGTGGTGGGTAGTGCCAAATTGCTGAGATAAACATGATAATACAATATGTCATTATGGAACAGATAGACTTTAGACTTTATTGTCCCCAAGGGGAAATTCTTTTCCACAGCACCGTTACTGTCCAAACAGACAAGTCCCACAACATATATACACAGAAAACAGAGTATAACACAAACAGAGATAGACAAAAAGATGGTTAATTTACTTGCGGTAGAGAGTTTTTGCAGTATTTGTATGAGAAGTGTGAACAGATTGATATCAGGTAAGGATAATACAGTATTTACATGGTTAACTTATTGATCCTAACAGTAGTTAAATAATCGTATATGTACATTCACGGTGGGTGTTTGGTTTGTAGCGACAGCTCTGGCACCCTGTGACTGTTCATCAGAGCGACAGCCTGGGTGAAGAATGTGTTCTTATGTCGGGTTGTTTGGGGCGTACAGTGATCTGTGACGTCTACTGGAGGGGAGGAGTTTGAACAGTTTGTGACCGGCGGTGTGAGGAGTTGTGACCAACATAGATAAAATGGTGAAAAGGACTTTCCTTATAAAGCGCTTTTCAATTCTTCTGACCACTCAAAAAGCGTTTTTCATTACATGTCATTATTCAACCATTAAAATCAATAAAGACAGGCACATGCCTCAGTGGGTGCTGGATCCAAAAACACATGAATAGGTAAAGAAAGCAAAACAAGAAGGTCCCGTTTGAAGGATTTATTACGTGACGTTTTGAGCAACATGCTCTTCCTCAGACTTGACATACACACTTATTGCAGAGGATGCTATATAAAGTGCCCATCACTATTAACTGATCCCATTCATAAGCAATCACACTCTGCTGGCGATGCCACAACGGAGCAATGTGGGACTCAGCGTCTTGCCTGAGCACATTTCGACATGTGGACCAGGAGCTTGGGAGCGCACAGCCAGTCATTCGATTTAGAGACGACCCACTCCACCACTGAGCCACAACTGCCCCAAAAAGCAGCAGCTCTGCATGTTTTAAGACCAAATACAGACTTACTATCTATACTTGACCTTTACATTACCTCATTCTCAAGCGTTCCATACGTTTTCAGACAAAGCTTTTCAACACTTTTGACGTTCTAGACATTGCACAAACACGTTGAAAACATTGCCAACGCAATAGTTGATCATTAAAAACAAAAGTTTACCCAATATTGGATGTCTAGGACTTCTATTTGTATTGCCCTCGTATCGAAACAGGTATCAATACCCTTTGATCTCTGATAGAATGGTAAAGAAGAATTAAAATCTGGTTTTGTAACAACCCAACTATGGGTCATTCTTCAGACAGCAAAGTGCTCCAGTTTCTTCATCAGTAGTTTTAAAACCATCTTACAGAGACATGGAACTCGTGAGACATAATTACAATAATCACTTGTGACTCTTAACACAATTATGGTGTTATTACAGTTTCTGCTGCATGGTAACAAAACAAATGTCTTGTATTTAGAAAATGTCATTCTTGGTGCATTCAAGTGACAAACCTTCATCTGTCTTTGTCCCTTCACACAATTGTTTGCTTGTTTTGCTTCTCTCCTTTTTATTTTACTGCCAATCTTTAAAAGGAGACAACTCTCAAATGTCTATTGTTATGTTTTGATGTTCAGAACCAGAAGTTTTCTTGTTTAGAGTAACAGCTCTTAAAAATGGAAAAGTGACTTAATCATTGTCATGACTGTGATGTCTAAGTCTCTGCAAGTTGATTTTCAAGCCACACTGACATCACACAAAATCACTGTGTCATACTTATAACTCAACATGTTCTTTGTAAATGTAAGTGAACACTGTTTTCTTGTAAGCATGCTGTAAATTGCCATCTTTTGAAACGTGTTGCAGCGACAAGGTAAATCGAAACTGTAATGTTCAATTGTCTTTCACATGCAACAATAAAGCAAAAATAATTAAAAGATGAAGAGATGCATACATGAACTCATGACACATTTCTTGTTTGTGTAATTAGGGCCTGAGCACCGACCTCGAGGACCCTATTGGAATGCAAAGAATCCTTTGTCTTTGTCTTCTTCAATTTTAATTTTTAAAACGCTTTTCTCCTGTTTCTCGTTTCAGTCATGTGTGGTTCAGACTCCGCAGGGCCAAGAATACGAGGGCCGCAGTTACAATGGAAAGGGGGTCAGTCATGCTGTTTTACGACCTCTTGTTAACTTAAAAATGGAGCATGTCTTTCTGTTTTTTTTTTTTTAAAGTCCCACTCCTCTTCTGTCCTCTATCTTGTCTCCACAGATCACTGGTGTGTCAGTCCTACGGGCAGGAGAAACCATGGAGCCAGCACTGAGGGCCGTGTGCAAAGATGTCCGCATCGGGAAGATCCTGATCCAAACCAACCTCGACTCAGGCGAACCAGAGGTTCTTAAAAACACACATTTAGTATAAATAAATCTTTTGAGATTTTGACCTGGTGTGTGTGTGCGTTACATTTTTAAAGACTTGTTAGACAGAGTCTTAAAAATCACATACACGGGTTAAAAATGTTTTGACTCTTTTTTTTTTTCTTCTTTCTTCCACATGATGTGTGTCTCCGTGGTAACTACCCTTCCTGCTTTTGTAACCATGGCAACCTGTCTCCTCCTCTCCGGCCTCGCCAGCTGCATTACCTGCGTCTGCCCAAAGACATCAGCGAAGATCATGTCATCCTAATGGACAGCACGGTCTCCACCGGAGCGGCCGCCATGATGGCCGTACGAGTCTTATTGGTGGGTGCAGATTAGCATCATTATTCTCCAGTCTCACAACAATATGAGACACCCCTCTGCTCTTAGTCACATGTGTGTCTTTGTGGTTACATCGGGAATTGTTTCTCATTGGGTGAGGTTAGATTAGCTTTTATTGCTGCGCAGATAAATGTCAAACATTCTGCTTCCATAGATCCTTCTTTCTTTCCTTTATTGGTGAGATAACGTGACATAAAAGACAAAGAGTTAAAAAACCACAAGACAATGAACAGACAAACAATAAAGGTTACATTAAAGAGAAGTGTGGCAGTGGATATATGACTTTGTTAGATAGAAAAAAAGAAGAGGAAAAAGAAAATAGTGTTTTTGTTGGATATCTATCGTGTTATGTGATCTGGAACAATGTGCAGGACAAGTAAGAGTAAATCATTTGTGGAGAGAGTAAGGAGAGAAAGAAAAAAGGATAATAAACAATTAAAAAAAAGAATAACAATCCCGAAGTAAAATAATGTTTACACTAAAGTAGATTTATCCTTCTGAGGATCTAGTCAGACATCCATTGATTGTTGTTTCTTGTGTGTGTGTGTGTGTATGTGTGTTCAGGATCATGAAGTTCAGGAGGACCAGATCGTGTTGGTGTCGCTGTTGATGGCTGAGCTCGGCGTTCACTCTGTGGCTTACGCCTTCCCGAAGGTCAAGATCATCACCACCGCTGTGGACAAGAGTCTGGACGATTTCTTACATGTCATTCCTGGAATCGGTGAGTCACCACATGCACAATCTTACTCTTACTACACTCTAAAACCAGAACGGTGGTTATATGTCTCTCAAAGAAGAACTTGTATATAAAAAAAGGATGACCTAACAACATTTCATAACAACGTTTTCCAACATACATGTCGCCTCTTTACTGAGCTAGTGTTGGTTTTTGGATGTGCTGTTTTCATCTTATGCATGAAAGGATGTCTTCACCTTTGCAGGAGATGAAATATGAAACTATTTCTGTCTCAGGTTGACAGGTTTCATTTCAGGTCCCAGCAGATTTTCAATTTTATTTTCATGTCACTCACATTTGAAGTAAAAGCTGCTCTCCATCGACACTGCAACTGAACAGCATGCATATCAGATGGACCGGTCTGTGGTTAATACTTTCATAACAACCAGTACAATCAATATCAATATAATATCAAATTAAAGAGCCTCCCTCAGTCATTGAAGGACCTTCACTGACACTGCAATAACTCACATTTTACCCAGTGTATGAATCTAATTTCTGGTCAAAAATATCTCATTGAATATGAATACACTGAATATAATCCTCATCAAATGAAAAGTCCAGATAAACATCGTATTTCAAGATATTACGAGAGAAAAACTGAGGAGTGAATTTGTTTGTAATGAACAAAATAGCTTCCAAAGCAGCAAGCAAAGTGTACTCGTTCTTGAATCAACATAAAGATCTCATTGTAAGAAATGTATCACAGACATTTTGGTGAATGAAGCTCATATTAAGCTTTAATGATCAACTTCAGTGCCTGACCCAGTCTTACACATACGTTCTGAGTCGACTGTTTTGTGATTTTAGGGGACTTTGGGGACCGATACTTTGGGACGGACGGGTCTGACAGCTGGAGTGACGAGGAGCAGCCATCGTACTGACGCACTAACCTGTGAGCCTCTGTGAAAGAAGAAACTAACGCTACTTGAAAAATGTGTGTTAATGATCACCCTCCCCTTCAGGCACAGACCAGCAAAAAAAAAAAACACAAACAACTGTGATTAATCCCTTTGTTTTGTACTGTACATGACATTTTGTACTCTTATACAACACATGAGTCTCGCTCACGTTGTATGCATGAGGGATATTTTGCTGTATTTACAGAGAAGTGTTCCTTATTACTACTTTCAAACAGAAGGGTCATATAGGTAATAGTGCCATTACTTAAAGGAAGAACGTGCGACCTTTTGACCCAGTAGGTGTCGCCCTTGAGCACCAGCATGAAACCAAAGCAAACAAACAAACTGCTGTTTAGCGACACCGCTGCTCCCCCTCCAGCGTCACACCTCCAACTCCCCTCCACTCACGTTCGCACAAAGGAGTTATGAATTACAACGCATCATAATTAAGCTCCTTTAAGCACAAGCGGTGGACAAAACTTTCCTTTGCTGAAGCTGCAATTTGCTGGCCTGCATTGTTGTGCTAGCAGGCTAATGTTGGCTAACTCATAGCTTCACATTGCACATACATTGACAAGGAATTACCGAGATCTAAAGACACTAACATGACATGTTAGAAGGATATGTTCTTCTTCTTTTTTCTAGTCCTTGACTGAAACAGTTTTATGCACAAGGCCGTCCCGTCCATGTAAACACGATGTAAACACAGCTCCGACAACAGTACAGCTGGCGAGACTCATTGTAGACAGTCATGACTCAGAGAGACATTTACAGAGGATATTCTTGATTTCTGCTGAATTTATGTGTCAAATGTCGCACATTCTGCCTTTAAAGGTGTATGTCATCACAAAGTGAATATTATCAAGTAGCCTACTTAAGGAGTTATTTCAGGATTGCACCAGCTGTTCATGAAGCCTGTTCTTATTGGAATAAATACTGACCAACTCGTGTATAGGGTTTCAGTTTTTAAGTCTACGATATCTTCATAAAGTAAAAGTAATGTTTGTCATGTTCAGGTCATGTTCACTCAAAGTCAAGCATGTTCAATACCATTCGAATAAGAATGAAACACAAAGTACGGCCGAGGCTACTGTGAAAGTTGTTTCAGAAAATAGGGAAGGGCGCTCTCACACTAGGCCCAGTTGCCCCGTACCGAAGCCGGCCTGTGCATTCACATTGCTCCAGGCCTGAGCTCAGTTACCTCTTGTCCATACGTCATCACTTTAAAATACTGGATAGTCGCAGGTTTTATCCAGCTGACTCTGAATATTTACATCTGACCAAATTTTGAGTTGACACTCGACTTCTGCATTGGACCAAGTGAACCCTTTGCCGCTGCCGTTTGAAATTATGATCTTTGGTTTTTCTGAAAAACTTAAGTCTGTCGAGAATATTCTTAAGTTATTTTTAGATTCTCCAAAGACTTTATACTCTGCTGCTGCGGGTTAAAAAAAGATTTGAAAGTTGGAACTGACGGTGATGAAAGCCTTGATACTCTGCACAAGCAGAAATATGATATTAAAAGAAGCAAATAGAGTGAAGTACAATCTTTACCAACTTAAATGATAATTACATATTTAGTTGTACGCCATTTTATACAAACTGATCTTTAAGGTGTTAGTTCTGTGGCCCACCTTCTTTCAGGATGCAACTTGAGAAAAGAGTTAATAATCTTTATTCTGCAACAACAAAAAAATTGTCATCCAGATTGTAGGAAAACATAGAAGTTTTGAAGACTTAGAAAATGTGACTCACAGCTCCATGACTGGGAGGTAATGTTAATACATGAGAGGCTCAAAAACTGCTGCTAATTATAGCAAAGTTTGAACAGCTTTATGAACAGCTGGTGAAACACAGCGCAGGAATGTGTTCTGGTGTTAATCTATTATTTTACTTCCCATTCTCTAAGCTGCTCTATAAAGATTTTTATATGATACACTGTCAAAAACCCCACTTTAACATAGCCTTACAGAAGAGTAGTTACATGAAAGTTGATCTTGAACATCAAACTTCACACCAGGGAATCTCAATGTTGAAGGTTAACTCGTTCTTAATAGGTTGAAAATGTCTTTAAATATGTAATACATCTTCAATTCAGGGTATAAGAAAACATCTTTCAGATTTAATTCAGATTCTGCTTTTACTTCTCACTGCCTCGTTCCTACTTCTACTAAAAAAAAACGATCATTTTTTGATTGTGTGTCTGCGCTGATCAACCAGGTGTGGATCAGACTGTCAGTGTGAGGTCATGGCAGGTCACAGGCTCCCCTCTGAGAGTTTCTTTTTCACGCTCCTGTGACTCTCAGGGTTCAGATACAGGCCGTCTGACCCCCCTGTGATGCACTCAAACACCTGAAGGTGTCAGTATAGCTCACAATTAGCTTCTCTTTCAGTGTGATTTATAGCGTGTGTCCCCCTGAGACACCACAGAACAGAAAAATGCAAACACACTCACCTGAAACATCCCCATCGTTTAAGTTAAAACTCTCAGATTTTGAGTCATGAATGGCAGTGAGAAAAAGACACGTTTGTTTCATGATTTTGCTGAAAGCTCTGGTACAGAATGTTTTGTGTTAAATCTCAGTTACAAATATGTAAGATCATGATGTTTATGTGAATCCAGGTTTTCAAAATGTGCAATAAAAAAAAACCTTAAGCCTCCTGGATTCCCCCCCTGTCGGGTTCCCGGTGTTGCCTCCAAAGTCGAACACACCTCTTGCTCCTGGACGGTAAAAATGACACGATTCCCACAGCCAGTTTGTGACCTTCTGCTTATTTTATCTCCTCTCCGTGCCTGATTTATGTCTCTCATCACTGTCACGTACCCTCAATGAATCTGGCACCCTCATTCATGTGTTTATTCCCTCATTCATGATCCCTCACAGCGAGATTAATACATCACATATAAGCTGTGAACGTTGTATCATCCTCACACCTACAGCTTCTCCCGCTCCTGTTTGTTTTGTTTTCTCTCCTCGCCGAGCGGCTGACACTGTGATCACGGATGTCACACGATGCACGCCGTATCCTCCAAGACAGCCGAAGACTCGCTGCGCCCATGTGACTACTGCCTCAAGGTTAACCTGTTACCATGGAGACAAGCCCGCCAATGAAAATTCAGCAGACGGTTGCGATGTTGACTGCAAGCTTTTTGTTTTAAGGGGTGACCTATTTTTTTTTTTTTCCCCTTTCTCCCCCTCTTCCTCTTCCCCTCAACTGGTACACAGACGAAGACCCCACTACCCCGGTGCATGTGCACATTTACACAGATACAAACACATGGGAAGGCTACTCACACACACACACACACACACACACACACACACACACACACACACACACACATGCATACATGCACACACACACACATCAGGGGACAATAGTTTTTTTTAATTTTTTTTTAAATAATCCATATTTTTTGAATAATTATTTGATTTTGACCCTGGGTTTAAAAGTGCAAATGTATATTTGGATAATTCCTTTGACAGGACTGAAGACTTGAATCTACAGGCAGCGTTTAGGATCAGAAGATAAGATTTCCATAAAAAGAAAAGTCTTTGATCTGTCTGCAGTAGATGAAAAAGTGAAATCGTGGCGATATTTTCTTCCTTCACTTTTAATAACTGACACTTTGAGATAAAGCACATTTTTTTTAAAGTGCCACTTTATTACAAAAGTATAAACTTGACTGACATTTCATGAATAGTAATCTTGATATAAAACATTACAATCTTTTGCACTTAGCACTTAATTACACGCTTCTGAGTACAAGACCCTGTAAGTCTGAATAGCAAACACACAACATTAGCTGCCACATTAAATCTTAGCCGGGCTTTCCAAGAACACACCGTAGCTTCATGGCTTCAAAAAACAACAAACAGAACACACTGAAATTTTTACATTGCAGCTGTTTTTGCAGTTTGTGTCACAAGAGAAGTCATTCCAAAACACAACTAAACATAATAGAAAAAGATAGATTTCTTGACACTGATGATATATTTATTATTCTTTCTCTTTTGTAATGTACATACACATTGCATCAACATACAGTTTAATCACATTGTTTGCTGGGGTCATTTTGCCCAAATGAAAGAGAAACTTTATTGTCCAGGATTTGGCTGTAAATTTGAGTGCGTTATCCTCGAGTTGATGCTCTGCTGCTGAGCGAAACCATTTAGCTTCACATTTTTGCCATATTTTTAACACTGATAAACAGAGAGAGAGAGGAGAGAGTTCATCGATGGAGTGATGATGAGACATGACGTTTTGCTAATACACATCAGTTCTACTGTAGCTTTCCAGGCTGCACTATCTTAAAAACCCAAGCAGATTCATATGAGCACAAGGCAGGGACGATGGAGATGAATGGTTCACAGATATGAGACTGAGCAGAGAGGTGTGTGTGTGCGTGTGTGTGTGGGGGGTTGAGTGGTCTGTCTCCACCTTTAGGACTCGAGCAGTTGTCTTTAGTCTTGTTCAATCTGTTCTGTGTGTTTCAAATGATGAGAGAAACATACTCTCCTCTCTGCTGCACAGAGTCCCACTGTGCCAAAGACTTCCTTAATCTAACTGGCTTTGTGCTCTACAGAGAAATAAAGCAACACACTACAAAATTAAATAAAACAACCAACGACAATAAATCAAAAACATTCATATAGAGGTACCACATAACAGTGCTTGATTTTTTGTCTTTTTTTTTTCCACTTTTTTAGCATGCAACTTGTAGCAGGCAAAGTGCAGAAACAGGATCAACAAAGTAAAACACTTCATTTACAGACAGCAGTGGAGACAGAGTTCAGTCCATGTCGGATGGAACAAAACGTGACAGAGGGAAGTATCCAGTCGGTTTGTTAAACATGGTTCTGGTCTATATTAGTCGAAGCTTTTAGGAGGAATGCAAAATGTGTGCAATTTTTCTTTATAATACTCTCATAATTGATTCTCTTGGTCCCTGAGCTTTCAAGTATTTTGATTAGTAATTCATTCCTTTCCTATTGTTTCAATTCCATCGTGAATCACATCTCGACAGACTACAGGGAAGGCCTGTTCATGACAGACTAAGTGCTACCAAAAGATTTCACACTGGTCCTGTGCCTTTTCCCCTGAAAGCATTCCTGCCAGGACCAGGAAAAACCCGCTAAAGTTGAGGAAGAATTTAGGCTTTCACTTAATTGTGCTTTGCACATGTTTCAGTAAAATAGAAGTGCTACTGTTACCTACAGATTGCTCTGCAATGTACTTGTGCTCGTTTAATATTCACTACCTTTGGATTCCTTTTAAGGTTGATAGATTGGACTTCGTTTTGAGCCCAGGTCATAACAGATCAACGTTACTGCCCATCGTGTGAAAGGCCTGATGTTATGACTGAATGTAAACAGTATGTGTGGGGGAGTATGACAGGGGCTCAGCCGTCACTCCTCTGGTGTTAGCTCAGCTCCTTGTGTTGGAAAGGTCGGGTCACAGTGCAGCGCCGCCTCAGAGCCCTGTTACGTACATCTCCATGCCGTCATTGAAGGTAAAGATGGTGGTGGTGCTGGAGGTGGCAGAGCCCTGCTTCAGGTCGCCAATGCTCTCATACAGGTTCTCCCCCGGCAGCAGCAGGGCTTTGGCAGGCAGGTGCTGTAACTTGGGGGTTTGCTGTGTCGGCGGCGGTGGAGGGGGTTGCTGCTGCTGCAAAGGCTGCTGGGCTTTCTTCCTCCTGGGCCGCAGGGTGGCACACGTGTTGGGGGGCCGCTCTCGCTTCCAGGCACCTCCATCCTCCATGTTAGCATAGGCCAGGTCGCACTCCTCAGTCCCGATGGACTCGTAGCAGTGGTCATCCATGGGCCCTCCGATGGCCTTCCCCTCCTGAAGGGCCCACGTCTGCGGTTTGACCACTACACTAAACCCCCCGTCCCGGTCTCGGTCCCGGTCACCACGACCCAAGGTCCGGAAGCCAAGATTGGAGGGGGGAGACCCTGGCACAGCTCTCTTCTTCTTTCCAGGTTTACACACCTTTGAGTACATCTCAGCCACCTGCGGTAAGACAAAACATTACTGATTTTATACACTATAAAAAAAACATTTGCCAGACAACATTGTCATCACCAAATGTTTTCAGGTAAGTAGCTGAGACATCGCTTTTCCATGTCTGTAAATTAAATAAACAAGACGTCCTTTGAGAGCTGTAGATAGGCTCAGTTGTTACGTTTGGGCAGAGTTAGGCCAGGTGTTTCCAGTCTGTATGCTAAGCTAAGTGGCTATTCGCTATTTTTTTTAACTTTATAGCCTCTTCCAAAGCTAAATTTACAAGTTTGACAGTTTGCACTTTTCTACATCAACTTCTCTGCAGTTAAAGGAGGGCACTGGTTAGAGATTGTGCTCCATATACAGTGGTATGGTGCTGCATTGGCCCCAGATTCAACTCCAACCATTGGTCCCATGTGACATGTCATCCCCACGCTCTCTTCAAAACAGTTTATTTCATTCTTCAATGCCAAAAAAAATGACTTTGAAAACAAGTTTAAATTGTGCAGCAGGCTCTCTATTTTGTTTTACAGATCGTAAAACAAGTTTAAGCTTTTGTAATCATAAAATAGTGTGCTCAACTATTTGTTCTCCTGATGTTAAAGCCATGTAATACTAGATCACAATTTGACAAATAAACCTGAGGAGTGCTCTCTCACCACTGCAGCAGATGGTTGTATATTCTCCATCGTGTGAGCACTCAGAGGTCCCAGGGCTTTATTTTGGTGCATGAGCAGCTCCTCATCCTCCGGAGGCTTCCAGATGTACTGCTCCCCGTTTCCCATAAACATCACCTCCTGTTAGAATAACAAGAAATTACATTTAGGGCAGAGCTGGTCACGTGTTCGTGCATGCCTTCTTTGAGTATTATGAAAACAGCCCTTTAAAAACACACCCAGTGGGGTTCATGAAAGACAAATTACCCTCTTTAAATATGCAGAAGAGTAGTAGCGCAGAGCATAAGAAATGTATTGGATGGATGTCATACAGTATTGAAGAGATTTTCCCTGGAAGGCGGAGCTTGCAGCGGGAGGAACCATGTGCTTGTATTCTGGATGACTCAATTTCATCATGTTGCGTCACCCACAAGAAACTCAGCGGTGAGCAGCCCTTTGAGCAGCCTGCGTACACATGTAAGCCTGCAGACGCTCGTGTTTCTGAACTCAGGTCACAGCCGAGAGCGCGACCTCGCTGACCTCACACGGGGCACCAAATGGTCTCCCACTGTCACCCCAAGGGGGGGAACAAAGCTTTATATCCACAGTGGAATCAGACAGTCTGCCTACACGCCTGCTGCTGCAAACATATGGAGGAGGTGACACCGCTGAGAGGAGAAACACACCAATGTCCCTGAGAACGGTTCAACGAGTAAACACAACGCTCTGCCCAGACTTTAAAGGTATTCCTCCAGAAGTGCCAACATATAAAAACCTGACAGAGAACAAGAAAATACTGGACTGTAAAAGATATCTGCCTGATGATCACAGTGAGACTTTTCCATCCAAAATGACACGTCAGAGTACGTTCTCCTAAACAATACAAAGCAGGACTTTAGGAGTCCAAATCTATTTACAGATTGTACATGAGAGTGCTGAATCTGTATGAGCAGGACGGGGTTTTGGTTTTGAAAGGTGGTTTCTTGTTTCCATTTCTAG